AAACTCGACGCAATCAAGCCCGAGTCGGATAATGTGATGTTTGTAGGACTATTGCTTTCTTTTGGAGCAAAAACGGCTAAGTCAGAAAGGTATGTGCACTCAATTTGATTTCTTGTACATTTATAACCATCTCATTGTTACTGGATAGAATTTCTTTCAACACGGGATCGAAGAAGAGGAAAACTGGACAAATGTGAGTCCCTCTACTATTGTTGTTAAAAGACAATTTTTCGTTCCTGCTAATGCTTGAATTCCCAAGGTATTCTGTCGATAAGGAAGATTTCGAATCTCTGCGCTATGGCGTCGTCTACGGTATATATGGAAGCCGATGCTTTCAGAATTTATTTGAGATTGCTAAAGAGAACGATGAGATAGCTGCAGCTATCAGCGAGATCCTAGATGCGTTTTCAGACCCAATGGAGAAAGAACTCCCATCTCTGTTACAAGACGACGAACGCTATTGCACTTACAACAAAGAGTTTCTTACCACAACCACCTCGATCCAAAGCCTAACTGAGAAGGAATAGGTGGATATTGGTGGAATTGTTGATCTTATGCAGAAGAACCATAATAGAATAGATATTTTTCTTGGATGGCATGCTAATAGCAAGCGTCTGGTTTCAAAGTTTTATAGCGGAGAACACAGTGACCAAACGAAAGTGTAACTATAAACCCCGTAATAAAAATTAATATATAGGATTACCCATATATGGAAAATTATAATTATAATGGCTCAAGCAATACGTTTCTTAGAGATAGGTTGCAAATGTGGATGTTCGAAAATGATTCTGAGAGAAAATTTTGCCGAATTACGTGAGGCGTTTCAAGCCCTCTCTAGATCCGAACAAGATATATTTTTAATGGCCCAATTAAAAGCAATGAATGGTGGAGAAATAACTGCCAGTCGACGTCTTAAAAAGAAAACGCGTATTCATAAGAGGACTTTCTATTATTGAGATCGCGATAAATACAGTGCTAATTTAGAATTCGGGATTTTTCAGTAATATCAGATATATGACATGGCGATAGGTTACGGTCTAAATTTAACAATAATGCTTTATTTATTTAACATCTGGATCGCTAATCTTAGAAAGGAGAATATGATGTTAACTTGGGCTTCACCAAGTCACCCCTAAAAAATACGTAACAAATGGATGTGCCAATTCGATTAAAATTGAATCCCATATTTATAATGTATATGATTGGTACGTCTAAAACACTGCATACAGTCTAATATAACTTTATACGCTATATTTTATTAAATCATATATACTCATAGCACTGGTCATATAATAATAAAATGATTACTATTCAGGATTTACGCGGTTCTAAATGCACTGATGATGAATGGTATGAATATTGCAGGATGTCACAAGTTCGTACTAACGAAACTCCTAGAAAGTGGAAACAACGAATTTGGTCTCGCTTACAATATTTCAAAGAAAACGATCTTTTACCCATCGAGAGTAAAAAATATTTTAATGCAAGAAAATTGATACGCCTTCAAGATGGTACATCATACGCTCCTACGATAGGAATTGCAATCTGTTTATCTTGCAACGAATTAGTGTACACTGGGAAAAACATTAAAACTATTGAGAGTCATTGGAAATCGGCATGTACTGGTAATAAATATTGCGAACTTAAGTATGAAGACTATTTAAAAATTAAACATAAATCCGGATCTGATCGTACATTCGACGATATGCGTGCATTGCATTATTACGAGTTATGGATGTCAAATGCTATTAGCAAACTTAAACGAGCTAGGGAAGTCGGGAAAAAGATGCGAGCATGTGTCCTTATTCAACGTAAGTGGATTGAATTCATGTATCATCCCAATAGTTTAATTGTAAAGCAGCTGGCTGAGCATTACAAACTGCTATGGACTGCTCGCGAAGAAATGCGACAAGCTAACGATGTATATTAGCGATGTTTTCGGTTAGGATAACTCTCGTGTATACTTGCATTTCCGGCCGTACGGCATCGGAAGTCATAAAATTTATTATTATTTCTTACACGAAAGTATCACGTGATGTTATGAAGAAAAAAGGTTGCAATTACAAGGGGTAGAAAAAATCACTTGCATCTATGAAGTAAGTGTTACTCATCCAATTTAAGCGGTGTGTCCCATCCAAGCCTCACTGCGAGGGGATCATCTATCGGTTTAGTAAAATCAAATACTATGAAACTCCGATCTCGCAAATGCTTATCAATAATCTTAGATACTTTTTTTGGATTATCCGTATATTGACGCACAATTCTGGCTACATCTTCTCTGCTCCCCGATCCTCGGAATAAAGCTAAATGTGAGACATTCTCGCGAATTATTTTAGGAGTTTGAGTGTATTTCTGGCTTACATATATGGGCGAAATATTTTGATGCCGGCTACTAATAAAGTAAGGAATAATCCGATCCTGAATTTTCTTTGATTCAACACACAGATCTTCAAACACAACTACTACACTCCGTTCTGGTGTGAATTTAGTTATATCTGGAATCTTGTCAGGTGCTATTTTTTTAAACGTAACGTTCTCTCGGTAAGCTTTAGAGCTAGTTGCGAAAATCTGATAACTAGTCTGAACTAATTGCCATTTCGGCTCGAAATGCTTACCTATTAATACGAGATCATCATTTTTAATATACCGATTACCTTTCTTTTCCTTGAACATTCGTTGTAATTTATTACCAAGCATAAGATTTATTACCATATTCGTCTTTCCGCTATGCGAACCCCCGCAAACTAGTAATCTGAAAGGCCACTCGGGTGCGTATTTGTTACCGCTTATTCTTGTCAAAGATTCTTTAGGCGTTTCGTCTAGTTGATATACATAAATTGGCATTTTTTCTTCCTTCATCCCGGCTAAGACACCAATTATTATGCCTGAAAAATTATGATGGAATACTGTTTTTAACTGTGTGTACGTTGTATATATTACAATTTTTTATTTGTGGAGCAAAGACACTACGTGTTCCGTTTATTACATAAAAAGAAAATTGTATCGATTACATTATCAAAGTTTATTACATGACATTTTGTTGCGAATAATAAACGCTATTATCTTACCAGGAAAAAATACTTAATATTTATATAGGGACATGTTAGTGTCTTATTCTGCAACCATATGGCATAAATAACCCTTTTCTACTAATGTATGGCGGATGTAAGGTAGAAAATCGCAGGTATACGGTATTTCAATAAGATCTATATTCTCTCTTTTACATACATCTCGCTTTTTTTGGTCACGCGTCTGTTGACTATCTAAGTCTATCTTGCCTCGTTTATGGAACATTGGATTTTCAGAAAAATGTTGAGGCCCCTGGAATTCGAATGCTAATTTTAGCTCTTCATTATACCCGTCCAATTGCATCCCATCTAAAAACGACGGTCTACAGGATGGAAATTTTTTACCTAACAGATTTTCGAAAATATATCTACAGCGCCTCTCATTGGTGGTATGATGGCATAAGGGACACCATTCAAATTTCGTAGCTATTAATGGATATGGATATTCCCACTGATGTTTACCGTTTTCACAAGACCAGAGATATACATCGAAATCATTTATTTGACCAGTTTTCATAATACAATGTCCACCACGCTTCCTGGCATATTGTTGTGCTTTAGCCATTTTATTAATAATACGAACGAAATTAACAGACCTAGAACGAGTATTTTTTTCCAATATACTCTGGGGCGGATACTGAAGTGTGTCAATATTTACGTGCATGAGCTCTTCTCTAACAAATCCACGTGATGGGGCATATTCTCCATCTAAATAATATAAAGCCGGTTCGTTTTCAGAGGCAATTATTTTTCGAATTGTAAATAACGTCGGCGTCCATATTGGATCAGTTGCACGTTTCTGATTTTCCATGCCACCTTCCCATTCGGCGTTAGCAAGTAAATATCGAACGGTGTCACCTTTATTTAACTTTTCTTCATTATTCCCGACTGGACGTTTATATTTTGTAGATGGCCTAGATTCAACTCTTTCTAACCCGATTGCTATTGCTGGAGCTAAACCCCACCTCGAAGATCCCGGAGCTCTAATGAGACGTGTTGGATAATTATTTAAATAATTGAGAACTTTGGGTAAGTGTTTAGCCCACGCTCTTATTAATTTGGGATTTGAAGATAGAGATTCAACTGCGTATTGGATTTTATATAACATTTGCGCAAGTGTCTTATTAAATCGTTCTACAATTGCTAGCCCTCGATGACTATAGAGTCCAATTACCCGAATTGTAACATTATGGTCTCGCATTAATCGAGCGGTTTCGCCCATAAATTCACGCCCACCATCACATTGTAATAACTCGGGCCAAGTAAGCGGAATATTTGAGTTGTCATAGATTTTTTCAAACGCGCGTGCAACTTCTGAACTGTTTTTCGATGTTAGGGGTATAGAATTTTTGTATCTACTGGCGACATCTACGACATTAAGAACCCATTTAAATATTTTTTTATATATTTTGTCATTCGTAAGACGCAAAAGATCGCACTGGTGTACACAGTTCGGACGTGAAATTTTACCATAACTGACTCTTGGAATGTCTTTCGGCGGTGGAGCGTACTTTTGCCATTCATTTTGGTTTATGAGCCAATCACGCACTTTCTTGAATGGAAATTGAAATCCTTCCCGCGCAAGATCTTTCCATAAGCTCCGGGGATTAGAGTAATACCCAGTGGGTTGGTAGAACATTAGCCCGCAACACAGAGCTATTTCCTCATCGGGATCTATAGATACAGTAGGAACATTCATATTTCAGATAGCACCGCACATTAAATTAACACGACAAAAAATTTATTGGTCAAATAAAAATGGCAACTCAAGCTCCCACTCCAACGCCAAGAATGGATAACCTTGTCGGCGTATATAATATAAATCATTTCTGTCAAATGGTTAGAGAATTTTTAACGTATATTCCCCGGAATAATAGAGTTGCAGTTGAGCGGGCGTTAACAAATCTCACAAATGCGTACAACCAGTCCCAAAATGAGATAGTAAGACTGAGCAGTGATTTAGCACAATCAATGGAAAATGAGCGAATTGCAAATGAAGATGCTATGGGTTGGCAGGATTATAATGCAGACTTGCTAGTTGCATGGAATAAGTGTGTTGAAAATTATAAAGGCGAACAAAAAAAGCGTATTTTTTGGCGAGTAAACTGCGAAATTTTACTGACAAAATTTCAAATGTCTAAAGCCAAGCACATGAAATGGAAACACAGGTCAAAAGTTAAACACGAAAAATATAACAAGTGGAAGCTTAGAACAAGATTAGTCCGCGATGCTAATTTAGAACTTGAAGAGCGAATTATTTTTTTAAATCAGCGAATTTTAGATTTACAAAATAATATACCGCAGAATCATCATAACAATCGAAACATGGCGGCCGCTGATAGACAACATATTTATCAAACTATTCAAACAAGTCTTGCCCATATTCCATCATATATTGGACAGGAACCACCAGATGACTATTGTAATAGGATTGAAACAGCCATCAGCTATACTGATACAATGATTGCTGATGCTAATAATGCAAATGCCAATACTTTTACTGATGCGCATAAGGCAGATATTTATAAATCGAAAATGGCAGGAAAGTATTTACCAGTTCCACCTCAACACGCAGGAAATAATATCGATACTCCAGCCCGATTCAGAGTATGGCTTGGAGATACCTATCTACAAAGAACAGTTGGTACTCGCCAGTCTGCTATTCAAAGATTATCTCAAGAAACATTTAAGGCTGATGATAATCCAGAAACATATGAAGCTAGAATTCGTCAATATCTATTAGGTGTGCCTGATAACGATGCTAATGCTTTGGGATTTCTTATGGCTCATCTACCTTCTGAGCTTTTTATTCGGATGGAAGGAGTAAATCCTGGCGGAATCACAGCTTTCTTTAATTCACTTAAAGAATTATGGCTCAAGCGTCAACCATCACTTGGCTATAGAGATTCAATTCCCAATCAAATTTCTCAAACTCCAGCTGTTAATATAGAAAATAAATCTCATTCTAATAGTAGTGATATAACTCGAGCTGAAATAGATAGTATGATAAAATCACAATTAGCTTTAGTGCCAACTACTTTTCTTCAGCCTACACAACCCGCTTCTTCTCAAAGACGAGAAGGACAATTATTACGAAGTCAAATGGAACCAGGTAAAATATATCAGGATCCTAATTCACGCTTAAATGACCCAGAATGGCTTCGAATGGATGAGGCAACGGATCGTCTTAGTGCTTTAGCAGGTCCATCTTATCTGCAAACTTTTATGGATACAATTAGTAAAGGAGTGATAGATAGAATTACGCCTCTCTTACCTAAGAAAAAAGAAACCTCTCCCATTACTGATGATGTAGATGGAATCACAAAGGGTATGGCTGAGTTGTCGATAAATGAGGCTATATCCAAAGGTGTATCTAAAGGTATATCACAAGGAATGAAGGAAGTATATGCTGTTAGTGTATCATCCAAACACCGCTGTTCAAAATGTCATAGAAGTGGTCATCATTCAAATTCTTCTAGATGTCCGAAAAATAAAAAGAAAAGCAGATCCAAGAAAAAAGGTAAGGTTAATATGGCTATCAATGACTCTGGTTCCGATTCAGGTTCCGATTATAACTCTTCCAATAACGATTCCGATTTTGGATCTGATTCTGATAATACATCCTCTGAAACTGAGAGTATGAATGTTAACATTTCCAGGGTAAAAAAAAAGTAAAACGAAAGAGTAAATCATCCTCTGCCGTACGGCCTAAAAAGAAATCAGATACGAATTATTGACTCACAAATTCGAAAAATTATTCTAGCCATGTTTAACGATCCAGAGGTTATAGAAACAATTAAAAATAATATTAATAATACGAATGTATCTATTGCAAAACCTGACTTTATAAATTATCGAGAGCCGGCTCCGCCGTACGGCTCAGAAATACCCGATTCGGACGGGGAGGATGAAATGCTAGATGATCCTATGGAGATAGATTTCGTCTGTCGGAAAGAACCGGTAATTAGTATTGCAACTATACCAGTTAAAATCAAACGCTTAAAAATTCCGGCATTGGTACTAGATAGTGGCGCTGAACCTGCAATCGTATCAGAAGATATTGTTAAACGTGTAGGCGGAAAAATAGATACGTCAGAAAAATATGATCTTAGTGGTGTTGCTACCGTCCCAACAGAATCTGTTGGTATTACTCATAATTTACCAATAACATTTTCTCCAGGTTTTACTATACGTGAAGATTTTGTAGTTGTACGAGTTCCCAAACCGACATTAATATTCCCAAATCCGCTTCTCAAAAAATATAAATGTGCTGTAGATTGGGGTAACGATAAAATGAAGATTCATTATAATGGAGAAGATTTTATTATTCCGGTTACTATGCACAAAGTCAAGAATAAGCTCGAAGTAAATTGCGCTACTGCATCCCAGAATGATAAGCCTTTGATATCCAATCAAATTCCCCAGAATATAGATGGTAGTGAGGATGACAATATACCGTTCGAAAAGTGGTGCACTCCTGCGGGCTTTAGCTTAAATTCCGAGAATTTGACTTTAAAAAAAAATGCGTAAATTGCGAGAGATATGAGAAAGAAATGAATGACGCGACAAAAATTATCACTAGTCTTAATACTCTTATTTATCACTACGTTGGATTATCCAGTAAAGAAAATAGAGAGTAAAATAGACGAAATTCGGAATTTATGACTCATCAACATATTTTAAATTTGATAAATTTTTCTTACCTTCCTCTACTGCACGTCTAAAAGAGGCTAGTGTATCTGTAGAATATAAGGACTTTCTATTTATTTTTTCTATTGAGTCTTTGGCAATAACAGATAAGTTAGATATTTGATCGGATTTAGATCTCTTCGTTTTTGCTTGTTTATTCGATTTCACAGGATCTTGTGATATACCGTTGCATAGTAATGGGGCTTTGTCTCTATCTAAAGATTGAGATTCTATACGAAGGACGTTTATGGCAGAGTTAGACACATTAGTATTTTGATTAGGATCACTATCGTCATCATATAAGTGAGGTATAGGTTGATCCCAAAGAACTCTTAGATTCTTCGCCTCTCCAAATCTGATAAATACGTTTTGTTGATGTTTTATACTTATCCATCAACTCGTTTAAAATTTTATATCTTGGTTTTATATCACGACATTGCATAATATATGAATAATCTTCAGGTGTGAATAGAGGCGCATCAGATCGTATACGTGGCCTAAGCATAGTAACAAATGTAAATAGTATTTTTTTTCTTTGCGAGTACAAGATATTTATATATAACAAAATATATATAATATATAGAAAAAATAAAATATATCGAATATACATATCTTATACTTATTTATTATACATATATCCCATTTGATACATTATAACAGATGTATATGATATATCATACTTAAAATACATATTCGATATTTATTTTTTAACGAATCGAATTTCATTAATAATATGGACAACAAATGTAATATTGAGGAGGAGTTGCAATATGGTGCAAAAATTATATCCGAATTGAATGCTTGCAATAAAACATTGCGAGATAATCAATTAAAACAAAATAAGAAATGGGATCGGGAAAGAAAACAGTGGGATCGGGAGAGAAATAAGTGGGATCAGAAACTAGGTAATGCTATACCGAGATCCAGAAATTACGCACTCATGATCTGGAACTTATTAATGAGACCAGGCGTCTACAGATTGAAACTGCTCATAAAGATATCTCTCTTGCGGAATCCAAGGCTAAGTATGCTACAAAATTAGAGGAGATTAAATCGCTTCGGAATGAAATGAAATTATTGAAGGGTAAGTTAGATTTATCCCAGAAGGACTCATCAAATAAAGGGTCTGAAATCGAGTCTCTCAAGTCTGAGATAGTTGAATTAGCCTTGAAAATTAGTGAGTTGGAGCGTCTGAAATCTGAGGGTATATCGGGATCTATAATTGGAGGAGATGTCGAGGCCGTACAACAGGGGCAGAGCCCCATTGTTTTCACAATAAAAAATACGCAGAGCGAGGAGCTTGATGCTCCAACAGTTAACTCAGTGGTATCACCGCAGACCGAGAATGTTCCTGAGTTTAGTCTTCGTCCTTTTCTGGTCGTACGGCCAAAAAAAACAAGTTCAGAATTAATAGAAAGTAGTACAACTACACAACCAGATAAATCGTCTACTTCTTCATCCCCAACCACACAGAGCCGTACGGCGACGGTACCGCTGCCAAATAGTACACGTAAAAATTCTACTTGCTCCACAGTAACGGAAAAAAATAGCGAGAAAAAGAGTTCTATAGATAGCTCGGCCGTACGGCTACAGAATATAAAGGAGATAGAATCTGACTCACGTACGTCCATTGGAGGGATAGAAACAATCCCGATCGCTGCGAGTTATTTAGGTTTGCTGTTTACTTTTCTTATTCTGTTACTTATCGCGATTATATTGTTTACCGTTCTGAAGCCTACGTGGGCTGTACGGCTGGAAAACCGAAACAATAGAAATCTAGGCACTTTGCATCCTCCGGCCAAAGAAAATATACATTCACAGAAAAAAACTGCTTATCATGATTGGAATTCCAATGTAGTGATACCACCGAATCATCGTCAAACGCCAATGTAACCTCTTCTTTTACGTTATATAAAATGACTCTTGGATCGAGGAGACTTTACCTCTGATTTACTTACGTGCTTCATGCATAAGTCACTGTACTTATCCATGTATTAGTATTTAGAAAACTATCGAGCGCTAACTTATCGGTTTTCGATATACTGGGTAAGGCAGGTTGTTCCGTTATTAATTCATAGCTTGGTGTGCTCTAGCAATATAAATCAATAATCTCATCGAGATCTGCTTCATGTAACTTGTTTTTGCCAGTGTTCTGTGTAGTTAAGTGTGATAATGCTCGACGTCGTACAGTCACAAGACCAATTTCTCTATACCATTCATTACGAAATTCTTGCATCAATTCACAATTGTGTCTGAGATTCGGCACTGGTGTAATAATATGTATTGTTCTAAAATTGTGATATCAGGCTTGCGTTTATGAGACTGTATAACCAATTTATACAAATCATCTCTATATTTTTCATTGGACTTGGAAATTCTCGCAAAAAGATCTGATAAATTTAAACGAATAGAATTTTCAATTTCGTTCAATGCATTGAGGTAAGAAGAGGTAAAGTCACGAGTTTTCGACTCATCATGAGAACTATAGTTCAAGCATATTCTTGTTTGCACAGTCCTATTTACGTTATTACTGGAACATATTTTTTCTGCATAAGTATTAACCTCTTTCCATAGATGAGATAAAATATCTTCTTCCTTCTTCGGAGCATCGCGTAAATCTTTGATATATTTTTTGAGCCATCGTTCAGCGGATTTTTGCGCTATACCATCCTTTGCCGTCCAGAGTTCATCTGAATCTGTAATATTTTTCAAGGATTCGGAATCAGGTTGTGGTTCAAAACATTTACTATTATTTATAAACCGGGCACAGAGACCAACTACACTCTTTAGGTAATAATTGATATCTATTTTTTTGTTAAGTTTTTTCGCCACATCTGGGTATTCCATACGATCTCCCACTTTCTCTGATACCCCCTCCACTACTATATATTCAAAGCGTTCTCCGGGTTCTGGGATATTATATATATATGGATTGGGCGATACTCCCTGTTTTATGAGCTGTTGGGATTCTATTATCTCGCGAGCGTGCTTAGATTTCATTCGAGAGATAAAACATTGAACACTTTTATTATTTCTATCAGGCTTCCATGCGGAAGTTTTTACACATTCATTTATATCGACTTGGGATAAGTTATCTACAGCGCTTTTAAGAACGTCTTCGACGATTTGTTGCATTGTTCTATTGTTATTAATTTTCATAGATTCTTCCATAATGTTTCTACCTACTTTGCGGATAAACTCAGATTGCCCTCGTTTCACAATATCAACACCCTTAATAAAAAGCTTTTCAAAATCTGGGTAAAAGTTAGGTTTTTTTATATGTTGAATACCATAATATTTTTTCTTACCTGTAAATACTACGGGAAATAATACTTCCTCATATGCCATCTTAAGATAAGTTGATCCATTATCTTCCCTGAGAAAGTCATTAACATCGTTTCGGAGTTCGCTCATTACCTTCATAGATATTCTCACCATCTCCTCCCAGTATTTTTCCTTTGATATCTTTTCTGAAATGTATTTCTTATCACACTCCTGAAAATATTCTTCTGGGCAAACAAGATATAATGAATCGGTATCCCCGTATTTTACAACAAACCCTTTACTTCCGACAAAGTCAGCAATGAGCTTGATATTTCGCTGACCGGCTGATGTTACTCCCCCTGCTAGTTCTCGCAAGAAGAAAGGAGATCCACTATTCCCAGCTTCACCGTAAAACGTGTTCATATACACTTTTAAAGCAAGCTGTTTTGCGTCTAGACAAGCAACATTAAAGGCAATTGAAGAGTATTCAGATTTTAAAGCATCTGTAACAACCATGCCTCTTGCTTTCGCCAAACTAATCTCATTTTCTAATTCTTCTTTTTTATCCTTTAATGGAGCAAGACGTTTTTTTAGTAAATTTCGTCTAATAAGCAACTCTTCTAATACTTTTGGATAAAGGCCTTTCATTTCAGCTCGGTTTCCATGTTCTATAGACCATGCGAGAACATCCCGATTATTGAATTTAAAGTTAATTTCATGAAGCTTTTTACCGCTTTCCTTTAGAGATTCGGCATGGTTTCGAGATAAAATTATTTTTTCGGGTGAGAGATTGTATGTCATGATAAGACTTGGATACAATGATGCAAAGTCTAAGCCGGTTACAGGACGTCTATTTTCGAGACCTTTTACCGGTGGAAAAACATAGGCTCCAGGGTATTTTCGTGTTTCCGTTTGTTCACATGGAATTGTACTGGTCAAAATCCCTTCCTGCCATGCACTAGCACTTAAAAGATTGCGCACTTTCATTCCTACCGCAAAATAATGTGAATCATATACTGATATGAAGGCTACAGATGCCATCTCCCTGTACTCATTAATTGCATTACGCTCTACCATTAACCGTTGACAGCTAATAGCATCGATAATACAATAATCGGCTACTTCGCGCATCTGCTCAGCCGTTGTAACGTTAGTTTCTTTTAATGCCCTTCCATAATACTTGAACATACGATGGTAAGACATATCTAGCTTGTTATCAAGTTTACACTCCTTTAGGTAATATGCTAAACTACTCTTTTCAGCCTTAGAATAAAATTTCATAAAACATGGTCGGACATCAATTGCCACGCACCCAGGAATTTTAAGATGTTTCGAATAGAAATTCCTATCATTAACTTTTATTGCGTTATATTGGTATTGCCATTTTGTAATTTTTTCGAGGCTTAAAGGCTTTAATGACATTTGATTGAACATCCATTCGAGAACCCCTAATTTTTTCGCCTTTTCCACAATAAATTTCCAATCATATTGTGAATCGTTAAAACCTATTTGAATGTCCGGGGCTAAGAGTTTCCGACACAAGGCAAATGCTTTTAATAAATTAGTCTGAGATTCGCATATAATTGTTGTCCGTCGCGGGTCTGGCGCAGTTTCAACATCGACAAGACAGATTTGCTTTAGTGGTTCGGGGTCGTCTTTCCAATGAACTGTCATACAGATCATAAATACGTTAGATTCATTGCTCTGCTCAGTAGGAAAATTACCTAGTCCGAGCGAACTATATGTCTCTATGTCCCATGTGAGAATGAGAGTTCGATCTCTTGTAAGCGCTGAAGAAATTAACGGATTGTTATAGTCGTCATCGTTTATTGGATTGTAATTGTTTACGGCTACCTGGAAGGAATAAGTATTTAGTGATGAATCCCCGATATATTTATATGAATAGTTACTTAACACTGCCCAACTTGAAAGAGGTAATCTTTTTTCACGGGCTACTTTGCGATAGTAATACGTAGGATTCAGGTCATCGGAAGCAGTGCTAATACCAACTTCACGAACCGCTTTTAATGCATTATATCGATCAAATTGATTCCAAGTAGTAACACGTATATATGATTTCCTTTCTGTATGATATCCTCGAAGTGGAAAAGCACTAATAGTCTCTATCCCGAATTTCGATGTGTTTTTGAGGGTGTTAGTCAATATATTTATCAATCGTCTCTTAAATACTGACAAGGGGTAAGTTGTGGTCTCAGGTACTTCAATATCAAAGAAGGGTTTGATGCCTGTAATATCCACGATTGCCTTTTGCCCATTGATTAAAGCACCACTAATACGCAAAATGTAAGTAGATACACCTTTTATGTATTCAGCTTCATCACTCACATCCGTAGGCATGAAATGTATGGATTGTTTGGCGGATAGGCTTTGTTGAAGTACAGCGGTCATCCCGTTATCGAATTCAGTCACAATATCATTGCGAGTTGGGATTCCTTCTAAGGTTTCCCCGCCGTCGTACCGCTCGAGTTGTGCGTTGCGTGCTGTCATTTTTTTATTAGTATGTATCAATCTTTGTTCGATTATATTATTACAATATAGTTTGGAAAAGTTTAAATTAATTTTTTTGTTGGTATGCAGTGGTATCAAAAAAAATACATCGAGTTTTAGTGAGATATATATAATAAATATGGCAGATGCCCACCCATTTCATAATATGTACTTGGGTATAGTCTTTGCGGAATATATAATAAATATGGCAGAAGACTACACTTTGATAATATGTTTTCGATAGGTTTTCGGGTATGTTTTCGGGTATGTTATCAAGGGTATTCAAGTGCGGTAATATATTATAAGAAAAATGGCAGAAGAATACCCTTTCAATGATATGTTTTCGGGTATGTCATCAAGCGTATTCAAGTGCGGTAATATATTATAAGAAAAATGGCAGAAGAATACCCTTTCAATGATATATATTCTGGGTAGGTAATGTACTCAATAGCATTTTTTGATAGCATGTGTATAGCATACCCGATAGCATACACCCGCCTTCTCGGATATATTTCTGGTGTCAAGGGCTAGAGGCTCATTACTACGCAATAAAATTCCGGCAATCGAAATCGACATGCTTTAATATAACGTACGCGATAACATTTTTCGATAGTATTTATGTAACGTACTCGATAGCATAATCAGATAACGTGTATATAGCATAGCCCGATAGCATATACATGATAGCATTATCGTAATATACTGAGAATACATATTTGGTAGCATTAATCGATAGCTTAACCAGATAGCATACCGACACATATAGCGTGTCCCGATTGCATTAATTTTTTATTTTGCGTGATTATTTTTTTTTATTAAATATTCTATGCGATATATAAAATGACAACAATGCAAGATCACAAGAGTAAGCTAACTCAAGCTATTGATAAAATTATAGCGCAAAAAATTGAGGAAGTAGACCGTAATATTCACGCTACTTTTACTTTTTTTGCCCATGTGAGTCAGTGACAGAAATCGGCCGGTATTTAACTTCAGAAACTCTACATAGTAGAGATTATGGAAGAAGAATACCCCTTGCCGATATGCTTGGGGTATTAGGCTGTATTCGGAGCATTACGATCGGGTATTCAGCGCCGTACGACTCGGAAATATTATATAATAAAACCCTTCGCTGATATGTTTTCCGGATATGTTATCGCTATAAGATAGGGTATATAACTTCAGAAATATTATATATAAATTATGGAAGTTATATACCTCCCATTTAAACCAATTTAAGTATTAATCTCTCCTCTGGAAAGCGGTTATAGTCGAGTATAATTTAATTTATTTTTTTTGGCTCTAGCTAGCTTAGCGGTACCGCCAAATAACGGCGGTGTAAACATAATTCTATCGTTACTTGTTTTAATATTTGCTTCGCAAATCGACCCAACCACGCTCTAGAGATCAAATAATATGACAAAAATATTGTTATTATCCTCGGCTGACTAGCTTCGGTTTTCTTCTCGGCTGGTAATGCCTCGGCTGAATGACGACGCAACCGCTCATCGTCGTTATCCCTTGACGTGTAATGTCAAGCCAATCATATTGCTCGTCTGTTAAACGCGATCTTATCGTCACTCAGCGGTACTCCCGAACAATGACGCGAATACAAACTTGTCGTCACATAACCAAATAGCGATTTTTTTTTCTGCCGTCCGTCGCAGACAACTCCGCAAGCTAACTGTGATGTGAACCACCTGCAATGACTATGCAAATGTAAACTCATCATCACTTCATAGCAGCTGACTTTTCCAGCTAACACCCTCAGCTAACTTCCTCGATGGCTACACAGGCAAATGACAATGCAAACACAATCATGTCGTCACTCGTATAACGACGCAAATGCAAACACATCGTCACTCCATAACTGTTTACTTCTTCAGCTAACACCTCAGTTGACATCCTCGGCAAATAACGATGCAAACACGATTATGTCATCTCGAATGGCGATGCAAATGCAAACACATCGTCACTCCGTAGCAGCTGACTTTTCCAGCTAACACCCTCAGCTAACTTCCTCGATGGTTACACGGACAAATAACGATGCGATCACAAACTTGGGTTAACGCGCTGTAGGCTAACTCCGCAAGCCAACCCCTACAATGACGACACAATCGCAAACGCATCGTCACTCGAACGATGACGCAAACGCAAACTCATCATCACACGTAGCGGCTGACTTTTCCAACTAACACCCTCAGCCGACTTCCTCGATGGCTACACAGGCAAACGACGATGCAAATGCAAAAACCTAAATTCATATGAGAGGTCATAATATAATTATATTATGACCACTACATGGAAGATGAAATTACACCAATTGAAGGATATTGCAGATTATCTGGATAGTATTCATAATGCGGGATTAGTGCATTGTGATCTTCACGGCGGAAACATTGTTTCACATGATAGTACACCATTCATATGCGATTTTGGTCTTTCTCAATCGGTGAATTCACGTCAGTCAAATTCAACCATCCGAGGCGTTTTACCCTTTAT